CTGCGCCGGAGGGTGTTGAGCCTGGAGGTGCTGCGTATGGAGCTGCTGAGCCTCGGGGTGCTGCGTCTGGGGCTGCTGAGTCTGGCTGTGCGGAGCCTGCGGCCGCTGGACCTCCCCTTGTGACGTCTGGCGGTGCTGGACCTGGAGGTTCTCCGGGTGCTCCGTCTCGGCGGGAGCCCCTCTCTCCACAGGAGCTGCGCGAGTGGTTTGCTCGCCGCTGGAGGCGTACTGCTGGAGCTGGAGCTTCTTCGGCCACTGAGGGTGCGGGTGCCGCCGGTCCTGGAGCTGCTGGACCTTCGGGTCCTACTGGAGCTGGAGCTGCTGAGGGTGTTGGTGCTGAGACTGCTGTCTGTCCAGGCGGTGGTCCTGCTGCTGGTGCGGCTGGAGGTCCTGCCGCTGGAGGTGCTCTTGGCGCTGGTGCTGCTGCTGAGGGGTCTGGTGCTGTCCCTGGTGTGCCTGGAGTCCCCGCGCGGCCTCGGCCGTACTTCGTTCCGCTCCTGCAGCAGGTTCTTGGTCTTCCTCCTTCTCTAGAGTGTCCGCCGTCTGTCCAATTGCCGTCACTGTTAGAGCCGGCCTCCCCACTGCCTGCTCCCTCTCCTTACACTGGTCCTACTGGAGGTCTTGCTGAGCGTCGTGAGCCTGCGTCTCGCCCCGCGTCGCCTGTTCGTGCTGCTCGCGCTAGTGGTCGCGGTTCGCGTCTGCGTCCTCCTCCTGTCCCTAGCACGCACCGGATGTCTCTGCGTCCGTCCACTGCTCCTCTGCGTGCCCCTTTGCCTTCTCCTCCTGAGTCCTCTCTTCCTGCGCTTTCCGACCCGGAGTCGGACTCTCTTCGTGCTGCCAGTCCTGCTGTCACGCGTCTTCTTGCTACTGTTGTCACTGACCCCTCTTTTGAATCCACTGCTGCGTCTGCTCTTCTCGCTGAGCTCGTCGACTTTGCTGCTCGCTGTCGTCTAGACTACGCTGCTAGTCTTGTTGCTGAGTCTGCGTCTGCCTGTCCTCCGTCCGTCGGGGGTGAGTGTGCTCTTGGCACGGACGTCCTTGAGGACAGGCAGGAGGAGTTCCAGTGTCTGGCTGCTGCTTCACCTCATCTCGCGTCTGTACTACTTGCCCCTGAGGGAGACCCGGATGCACTAGACATCCCGACTCCGCGTTCTTACGCGGAGGCCGTAGAGGGTCCCTACTCCTCTCAGTGGCAAGCAGCTATGGATGCAGAGATGGCTTCCTGGAAGTCCACAGGCACCTACGTTGACGAGGTTCCCCCTCCTGGGGCGAACATCGTCAGTGGCATGTGGATCTTCAGGGTGAAGCGACCGCCTCGTTCCCCACCTGTCTTCAAGGCGCGGTACGTTGCTCGTGGCTTCAGTCAGCGGCAGGGAGTTGACTACTTTCAGACCTTCTCTACCACCCCGAAGATGACCACTCTTCGGGTGCTGCTGCACATAGCCGCTCAGCGCGACTACGAGCTTCACTCTCTTGAATTCATCACTGCTTTCTTGCAGGGCAGCCTGCACGAGGAGATCTGGCTGCGCCGTCCGCCTGGCTTCACTGGGACTTTCCCTCCTGGCACCCAGTGGAGCCTCCGACGGCCAGTCTACGGTCTCCGCCAAGCACCGCGTGAGTGGCACGACACACTGAGGACTACGCTTGCGGCTCTTGGGTTTGCTCCCTCTACTACTGACCCGTCGTTGTTTCTGCGCACCGACACTTCTCTGCCGCCGTTCTACATCCTCGTGTACGTCGACGACTTGGTCTTTGCCACTGCTGACACTGCTGGACTCGCCTACGTGAAGTCCGAGCTGCAGAAGAGACACACGTGCACAGACCTGGGTGAACTGCGCAGCTACCTTGGCTTGCAGATCACTCGGGACAGAGCACGCCGCACCATTACCTTGACTCAGTCACACATGGTGCAGCAGGTCCTTCAGCGCTTCGGCTTCACGTACTCCTCGCCTCAGGCCACTCCTCTGGCTACTCGCCACTCGCTCTCAGCTCTGCCTTCGGATGAGTCCGTAGAGCCGAGTGGCCCGTACCCAGAGCTTGTTGGCTGCCTCATGTACTTGATGACCTGCACTCGACCTGACCTTGCATACCCTCTTAGCATTCTTGCACGCTATGTTGCTCCTGGGAGACACCGACCAGAGCACATGGCTGCAGCGAAGAGGGTGTTGCGCTACTTGTGCAGTACGTCGGGCATGGGGCTTGTGCTTGGAGGGCGGAGTCCAGTGGTCCTCACTGGCCACGCGGACGCTTCTTGGGCTGACGACCAGGCTACGCAGCGGTCGTCGCAGGGGTACACCTTCAGTCTTGGTTCTGGCTCTGTCTCTTGGCGGGCTACTCGCTCGTCTTCTGTTCTCGGCTCCAGTTGTGAGGCTGAGATCTTCACCGGGGCCATGGCTGCACAGGAGCTTCGGTGGCTCACCTACCTGCTGACTGACCTTGGAGAGGTGCCTCGTTCTCCTCTAGTGCTGTACGTAGACAACAAGGCCATGCTGGCCTTGTGTCGAGAGCAGCGCTTGGAGCACAGAACGAAGCACATTGCTCTCCGTTACTTCCTTGCTCGTGAGCTGCAGCAGCGTGGTCAGTTGCGACTTGCGTACGTGGCCTCTGAGGCCAACACTGCTGATGTTTTCACCAAGGCACTTCCGCCTTGTGATCATCAGCGCTTCTGCACTCAGCTGGGACTTGTACCTTTCCTACCTCACTTGCTCACCTCTTGACCTTGCTTGTACTCTTGCATATATATATACCTGCTCTTGCTTGTTTAGCCTTATATATATATATGTCTAGTCTTGCATGTGAACTGGCCTTGTGGCCTTGACCTTGTGCTCGGACTGTGTGGTGACTTTGTGATCCACCCTGAGCTTTGCTTTGCTTTGCTTGACTGGTCTTGTGACCCCTTGTTCTCCCCCACTTTGCCTATGGGGGTGCGTCAGAACATATAGCTTATGCTTTTGTGTAGGCTATAGTGGGGTATCCCATAGGGGGTACAACCCAATTAGGGTTGGTACTTGTACTCACACATTTCATAGTTCACTCATTCACGTTCCTACTTTCACAAAAACCTGCTCAAGAACAAGCTGGGCGTGGAGGTGTACGTGAAGGGCAACCCGCTGATGCTGAAGAAGGCGTCCCCGCAGACGTGCTGCAACACGTGCACGAGGTACAGCAGTTGCACGTACTGGCAGTACATCCCCGACATCACGATCGACGGCAAGAAGACCGAGGGTGCGTGCTACCTGGGGCACGACAACATCGACTACTCGTGCGGCGAGCTGACGGTGCAGTACGCGACGGACTCGTAGCCGGTTCATCTGCAGGTGCCCACGGGCGGCGAGTGCAACCCTGCGGTGAACATGGTGAACAACCCGCATCTGGTGGGCGTGTACGGCACGCACTTCAACTTCAACGGGCGCCCCAACAAGGCGTTTTGCATGCTGACGGACAAGGACCTGCACGTGAACATGCTGCTGCGCGGGTACTACTTGGACGACGCGGAGAACGTGGCGCTCGTTGTGGACGGCAAGGCCGTGCACACGTGGATCAAGGAGCTGGGCATCGTGTGGTTCGCCAACGGCGCCGACCACAAGGTGCGGCTGGCGATGCGCTCTGGCAAGCAGCAGGAGCGCGGCGATGGCATCATGAAGACGATTGAGATCGACGGCGAGGAGATCCCGAGGATGAGCGTTGGCGACGAGGTGACGACGGAGGGCGGTCTGACTTTGCGGTTCCTGGCGCTGGAGAAGGAGGGCCTGTATGACATGGACTACTACTCACTCACCATCGACGGTCTCGTGGCGCTCGACCTGCGCCTGCGCATGGCCAACCCCAAGCTGCTGACGCCCAGCGAGGCCGAGGCGCACATCAACGTGGGGATTGTGGAGCTTGAGCACACCGACGACGTGCATGGCGTGCTAGGCCAGACGTACCGCCCCGACCACGCTGCTCGCGCCGCCGACTTCCAGCGCCTGATCGCAAACCTGAACCGTCCCATCTCGGCCGACAGCCAGGAGGGCGCTGGGTTCCTGGACGGCACTCCCCGGCTGTACGAGTTGAGCTCCTTGCTGTCCGTGGACTGTGCGCAAACCGAGTACCACTGCGCCAAGCAGCTCAGCCCTGTCGAGGACTTCCCCATGGAGCCCCTCAACTAGACGCACGCACCCTCTCGGAAAATCGGTGGGCTTTGATTTGGTAGGCTGAGCCTCGTCGAGGAGTTCCCCAAGGAGCCCCTCAACTAGATTGGATCCCAGTTACCTCCTTAGTTACCTTGGTGGGCTGTGACTTGGTGGGCTGATTTTATAGAGCATCCCTTGAATGTTAGGTATCAAAATCGATACTCTTGTCCATTAATATAATATGAAATTCTTAGGTGCTTAATTATATTTCGTTGGCACCTCTGTTACCCTTCTACTTTTACCAATCTCTTGTCCAGCAAAGATAGTATTGGTGACTTGTGTCTGGAAGGAAGGCGCTGGAATAGAATCTCTCCCATTTCTCCTACAGATGCTACTGCTGGGCACCACAGTCCATTCATACCGTGCCCTCATATGCTGAAGCTCCTTTGCTGTGAATTCACTTCCCAGCTTACCGGTATCAGACATGTCGGAACGTTTGTACTCCAATTGCTGCAGCACCTGCGAGCCTTGTTGCTGGTCAAGGAGCCAGGGGCGCCAACCACAAGGTGAGGCTCGATGGATGGGATGCTGTGGTCGGGGCCCCACCCCGGAAATCAGCGAAAAAAAACTGGTTTACAGCTTGAATTCACAAGAGCAACTGTATTTGAGCTTGAAGTGGTACTGAGACTTCTTAAAGTTCTGGTAGCTGGAACAACACGGGCATTTCTTGTACACCCTTGTGTGCAAGAATAACCTACACCTAAGGGCTACAGTTAGCTGGCTGCAGCAGCCTTGGCTGCTGCCTTAGCTCCTCCTCTGGCTCTTGCTTTTGCCCCTCTAGCCGTTGCAGGTTTCTGTGGGGCCTGGTTTCGAGAGATGGGCTGAGTGTTACGCTGTAACCACTGCAGGGGTGCTCCGGACAGCAGAGGGGAGACCTGGAGTCGATGGGGCCAAGGGAAGAGGTGCAGGTGATGAGGTGAGGTGAGGTGAGCCGCCTGTCCACCACAGCAGTGCACGGGAGTTTCTGACGGCAGAGGTAGATGCATACTACTTGGTTGGGCGAGGTGATTCAAGCTCATGTGCGCTCACCTCCCTCCCACTCAGTGCCCCACCCACACTCAGTGTTCCACACTCACAGTGTGTCACACTACGCAGTGTTCCACACTCGGTGTCCCACCCACATGCACAATACCCCACACTCCCAGCACCCCACACTCCCAGCATCCCACATTCCCAGCACCCCACACTCACAGTGTCCCAGACGCGGTGGTGATAGTCGTTGATCCACTTCACCTCTGCATCGCTCAATAGCTCCACACTCACTAGCTTCGTCTACGGGCGTGGGAAGGGGGAGAAATGAAGGGAGCATGACATTTGAGACGTTTAAAAAATCACACTCACTGGCTTTGTCTGAGGCCAGGGGAAGGGGGAGGAATGAGATTGGAGGAATGAAGGGAGTATGTGAAGTGTAACCTGGCTGCTAAGACTGTTCAGAGCGTATCATCTTTGAGTTTTGAGACTTCTCACATCTTGTGAGGTGACTAAGATCCTCTAAACCTCATCACCACTCAAATGCACCGCACTCGACTGCACCGAAGTCAAATGCACCGCGCCCAAATGCGCCATATGGAGATGGTTGAAATGAGAAGGGAAGAGCCTCTGCTCTGAGATAGGAGAGAGAAGTACCTGAATTGGAAAGAGCTTCGCCCTCACCGTCTGCCCCGCGAACTCGATCGGGTGCACCCTCATGGGCGCTAATGGGGGTGGAGGTCCCTGGTGGGAAGACAAGGTTGGGACGGGGAGTGGAGGCAATGGGAACGCACAGGCGGGAGGCAGATTAGTCTGAGACTTGTCAGCTCAGCTGCTGCAGCTTTGCCCTCACCGTCTGCCCCGCGAACTCGATCGGGTGCACCCACATGGGCGCTGATGGGGGTGGGGGGCGCTGATGGGAAGCACAGGGGGGGCGAAAGGGAGTACAGACGTCTGAAAAAGCAGGGTTGCTTCTGCTGAGCGCAGCAGTGATATCAATTGACCCGTACCCCCCCCCCACACCACCTTCCCCTGGCTTTCCCACCCAGCACACACGCACCTCCGCCCCCCACACGACGTCAACAGGGTTGCTCTAGCGCAGCAGCGGGATGATCGACCCCTCACACTCCCCCCCCCCCGCAGCACACCCACCTCTGCGGCCCCCACTGGCCCTCCCCCTCTCCCCACTGACCTCCGCGCCCCAAACCACGTCAACGGGGTTGCTCTCGCGCAGCAGCGGCACCACCCCGTGTCCGCCAGCCCCCTCACGTTGTCAGCCGAATGCACAAACTGAAGGCGAAAGAGGGAGGGGGGAGGGAGAGAAGAGGGGGAAGGATGAACACATACGCACACTGCAAGCGTGACCGCCAGGCCCCTCACTTTGTCCGCCGAGTGCACAAACTGGGGGCGGCGGGATGGTGGAGGGTGAAGTGAGAGAAAGTGGGGGAGGGATACTAGACTCAAATGTTGTTAAAGTGTCTGCTAAACCCCTCACATTCTCGGCTTGCGCCAGCCAGTCCGCCACAGGACGCGTTCCAGGCATCGCCCCATGGCTACCGACTCTATCTCCGTCTGTGCCACCTCTCTTCCCCCGCCCTATATTCAAGTGACTTCTGAGAATTCTCAAAAGCCACAGGACGTGTTCCAGGCATCGCCCCATCGCCCCATGGCTACCGAATCTATCTCCATCTGTGCCACATCTCTTCCCCCGCCCCCCTTATCCAGCCTCCCCTCGCTCCACACTCTGCTGCCCGGGCGCACAGCTTCTGCCAGCCAGCCCGCGGCATAGGGCACGCAAGCCACCCCCCCTTTATCAGTACCGACTCTAACCCCCGTCATTGCCATTGCCACCCCCCTTTCCCCAAGCCCTTCCTGCTGTGAATACCGGATCAACGCCCACTCTGCTGTCCGCGGGGAGCACTTCCGCCAGCCTCCTACCCCAAGCCACCGCCCCCTATTTCCCATCCTCCATGTTGTTTACCGGGTCCACCCCCACTCGCCCCTTTTTCCCATCCTCCATTCCACTTACCGGGTCCACCCCCACTCGGCTGCCCGCGGGGAGAGCTTCCGCCAGCCAGTCCGCGACGGAGGGCACGCCGCGCATGCCCACGCGCATGAGGTCCCAGCCCGGCGGAAGCTGCTGCTCCGCCTGCAGGAAGTAGCGCCCGTCCGTCCACAGCAGCGCGTGCTCGCGCGTGACCATCGCCGTGCCCGCGGAGCCCGTGAAGCCCGAGATGAACGTGCGGCGCTCGAAGCACGGCGCCATGTACTCGCTCTGATAAGCAGGGGGGGGGAGGAGGGGGGGGGTAAGAAAGAATGTGACAGTACCGCTCTCTGGTTACCACCGCCGCGCGTGGCGATGGCGCTGGTGTAGATGGCACAAGGCCATAACAAAAGGGCCGAGAGTAGCATGCTTATATCGAGCAACGAGGTGAATTCTGTTCGGAGCCTAGAATGTGCAAGTTACAGGAAAGTAACCTGGTGCGGGGCTTCCGACGGGATGATAAAGGCGTCGACGCCCTTCCCCCCATCCACTTCCGCCATTTCTTCCCGTAACCGGTGCAAGCGTTTCTCCAGCTCCTTCCCCCACTTCTTCGCCTTCTTCCCCACATCCTCCGCTTTCTTCCCTGCATCCTCCGCTTTCTTCCCTGCATCCTCCGGCTTCTTCTCCGTATCCCCCGCCGCCGTATTCTCAGCTACATTCTCCCCATCTGCAGCTGTTTTTGCGTCAGCAGAAGGAGAAGAGCGTTCGGCGGAAACTTCCTCAGCACCGAATTTCCGTGCGCGCGCAGAGCAGGTGAGGAATCGACGGCGAGATTCGCTACCGGAAAACGCGGCAGGTGAAGCGGCGAAAGAGACGGACGGAGTTATGGTGTCAACGGATGGTGCATCCGTGATGACTGGCGCGAAGAACGGCGTTGTCGCCATGCTTCAGAAACGTTGCCCGTGGTTGGTGGCGATTCACTGCGTGGCGCATCGGTAAGGTTGCACTGCACTGCTTCCGATCGTATTGTACACCTGTCCCCTCCCCAACCATACTCACCCACGTCTCGTGCTTGTGCAGCGAGGCATTGGCTGCCAAGTGTTGGGCTGAACGCCCTAGGATCTTTTGGTAGAGTTAAAGTCTGAGTAAACGATGTAGTAGCGGAAGCGTTTTGAATAAAGTCCTTGAACCACCTTGCGCTAGTACGTGAGTGCAAATTTAGTTAATTAAAGCAAAGAGATACAAGGATATATATATGAGTACAGAGAATATGAAGAGACATAATTGTAACTACTTTACTGTTGCGGTTCGATACAGTGCGACTCGGGCAACTGCTCGATGTCGAGTCAGTTGTGTGTCCTTGCTGTCGCGCTGCATTTGTCAGGTCAAAGTTCGCTGACCTTTGACTTTCTCGTATCCTCCAGCGGTTACATCAACCTCCGAGGGTTGACTTGCTGGTGCTTCGATTTGCGCTGCTTCGCTTTTGTGTCCTTAGTTTCGACACGACAGAGGCGCTTTAAGACTTATTGTTCCCAACACTCCCCTTCGCTTCTGGAGTGTCGCTGATGGTGACGTGGCCTTGTCCAGTCAGCAGCATGCAGTACTCGAACTTCTGTTTTCTGAGCTTCTTGGTCAAATAGTCGGCTGCCATCTCGGACGTGGGACAGTAGGATAACTCGAGTTTTCCTTTCTCGATCTCGTCTTTCACGAAGAAGTATCGCAGAGCGATATGCTTCGTTCTGTTCGCGAATCCGCTTTTGTTGGCGATGCGAATTGCAGATTGGTTGTCGCAGAACAGGGTGAAGTTGGGTAACTCAGCTAACTTTGCTTCTTCCAGCAGTTCGCGAAGGTAGAGTCCTTCCTTGGTGGCTGAGCAGAGGGCGATATATTCTGCTTCAGCTGAAGAGAGAGCGATTAGTTCCTGCTTACTCGACTGCCAGGAGATAGGTCCGATAGGCTCAAGACGATAGACGTAGCCAGTGCGAGAGCGCCTGTTATCTGGATCGTCGGCATGGTCGGCATCGACATAGCCGATTAGTTTCGTTGACGCAGCTTCGTTCTTGTAGTAAGTTAGGCCGATCGTCGGCGTGCTCACGAGATAGTGCAGTGCGCGATCGAGCTCCGCTAGATGTTCTGCTTCAGGCCTTTTGAGATAGGTAGCGAGTTGACTTGCGGAGTAAGACAGATCTGGGCGGCAGGTGACGGCTGCGAAGAGAAGGCATCCCAGCTTCTTCTGGTAGTTTCGTATGCCGGCGGGTTTGAGTAGGGCAGAACCTCCTTTGTCGTTCCCTGCCGTGTAGCGGTATGGCGTGGAGATGGCTGTTGCTGTGATCATAAAGCGTTTGGCGATAGTGTCGGCATATTTTTCGGCGATGAGATAGGTCGCGTTCTCTTCTTCGCGGATGTTGAGGCCGAGGTACTGAGTGACGGTAGAGGAGACCGTGAGTGTGAGGTCCCTCTGCAGCTCCCCTTCAAACCAGATGGTTATGTCGTCGGTAGAACCGATGTAGAGTAGATCGTCGACGTAGACGATCAGCAGGATGTAGTCGGCGTTTTTGGTGAGTCGGTACATTCCTTGGTCGTGAGGTAGTTGGCGAAATCCGATGCGAGTGAGGCGAGTGTGTAGGTGCTGTTGCCACAGCCGCGGGGCTTGTTTGATTCCGTAGAGCGATTTCAGTAGCTGGCAAACCTGGTTGGGTTCTCCGTTAGTACCGTGCGGTAGTTCAACGAAGATTTCTGCGTCGACGGGTGCGTAGAGGAAGGCGTTAACGACGTCGATTTACCGCAGTTTCCTTTCCTTCATGGCGGCGATCGCGAGGAGGATTCGGAGTGAAGTATGTCGGCAAACCGGGGCGAATGTCTCGGTGAATTCTCGTCCGTGTTCCTGATCGAATCCACGCACGACCCAGCGTGCTTTGAATTTCTGGATTGTGCCGTCTGCCTTCGTTTTGATGCAGAAGACCCATTTCCCGGTGAGAATGGTCTTGTTCCTTGCCACGCTAACAGGAACGACTTTCCAGGTGTTACGTTCCTCCAGCGCCTTTAATTCTCTGTCCATGGCTTCACGCCATTTCTCCCTGTGTTCCCCCCCCAGAGCCTGCTGAACTGTCGCAGGCTCTTTAAGAAGAGCGTTGCCGTGGACTGCGGTGACGAGGCCGAGAATCTGCAGTCCAGTCTGTGAGTAGCGGGGGAGTGTTGTGTCCTTGGGATAAGCTGCTTCATCTCCCGCTTCTGGGTCGGGTATGAAATTCGGCCGTATCCAATCTGCTTCGTTGGTGTTGACTATCGCAGGTGTTACGTAACCACTGTCGGCGAAGTGGTAGAAGAATTCGGCGTTGGCGCTTTCGCGAGGGTTTTCTTCGTCCATGGGGACGTTGACGGAGCAGAACGGGAGAGGCCCGGCTTCTTCTGATGCGTTGTCTACATTCTGCTCGTCCCAGTCTACTTCGTCCGCTGCTGAGGCGAAGGCTCGGTCACCACGAAAGCCACCTGTGGGATCTTGATTTTCGTGCAAGTTGGCAAGGTACGTCTGAAGTGTGAGTCGTCCGTAGAAGATTACGTCACGTGTGTCAAACATTGTATGATGTGCTTGTTTAGGCTACAGTGGGTTAGCCTATAGTGGGTACACATTTCTAGGGTTAGGTTTGACCTATTTGTACCCAACACTCATTCTAGTCATTCATTCTCGTTTCTGATTCTGACAACGTGCTGCTACTGTCTCCTTGGAGTGGACGTCGAAGATTTTCCACGCGTTGTAATTCTTTTCGATGCCGAGGTGTAGTCCCTACTGTGCGCGTTGTGAAAATCTTCCCGCTCGTGCCTCTGAGGGTCGGTACTGTACCATGCACCCGAAAACTCGTAACATTTTTGTGCTGCCCTGTTTCCCTGTCCACAGCAGATGCGGTGATGCGTTGTTCGGAAGGGAGGACGACGACATCAAGTTGTGCAGCATGACAGCGTGGTCCATTGCTGCAGGCCACTGGTGGTTGGGTAGCCGCATGCCACGTAACAGTTTGCGCATGCTGTTCTGCAGAGTCCTGTTCATTCTTTCTGCGACACCTTGCTGCTAATGGGCGTAGGGAAGGGAGAGAAGCTGCTTGATTCCTCTTTCCGCCAGATACTGCTTGAATCGCTGAGAGGTGTATTCTCCTCCTCCGTCTGACTGGAAGCTTTTCAGCTGTGCTCCCGACTCTCTCTCTACTACTGGTAGCCAGGCGGCAAACGCTGCGAGTGCCATGTCACGGCTGGGTAGGTTAAGGTGCCAGACGTATCGAGTGGCGGCGTCGATGAAGGTGATCGTCTAGTTGTAAGTAACTTGTCTTGGTTCTCGATTGTAGAGAATATCGCTGTACACCTTCTTGAGTGGTGCGTACGCGGGTGCGCTCGGGTTGTGGTGAGGAGTGAACGGTCGATGTGGTAAGTCGGCTTCTGGGCAGGTAAGGCAAGTTCCTCGTGCCCGTTGAAGTTCTCTGTCGTCGGGTAGTAGTAATGAGTCCTTGTCCAGGACTCTTGCTCTTATTGTGTTATTTAGCACAGTGTTGCTTGGATGTCCCATGCGTGCGTGCCAGATGTCTTCGGAGGCGCGATGTCCGGGTGAGCGTCGATATGCGTCGGAGTTGGAGTAGAAGCTGGCGACGAAGTTTGCGCTTCTGTGGACTTCTCGTTGAGTTGGGTTCAGCTGCTGTGCGGGTGTTGGTGGTCCTTCGTAAACGAGAACTGGTGTCGCTACTACTGACGATGGTTCTGCTGCTGCCGATGATGTTTCTGCCGCTGCCAATGTTGTTTCTGCTGCTGTCGATGTTGTCTCTGCTGCTGCCGATGTTGTCTCTGCTGCTGCCGATGTTGTCTCTTCTACTGCCGATGTTGTCTCTGCTGCTGCCGATGTTGTCTCTGCTGCTGCCGATGTTTGTATCGTTACTAACGCACGTGTTCGTTCTGCTTCAGGGATGGTGTGCGAGTACTAGAAGCCTTCCGGACTGAAGTCTGGATCAAGATCTGGAGGGTGTGTCCAGTCACAAAAGTTCACGATGGTGTCGCTGTCTGCGGTGCCCAGGTCTGGGACGAAGTCAAGGACGAAGACGTTGTTCTTCAGGACCGCCTTTCCGATGTAGAGGCCGCCCTTCCCGTGGTACAGTTTGAACTCCTGGGTGGTACTGTCGGCTTCCAGGTGAATACCTTTCGCCATCAACTGACTGACGCTCAGTAAGTTGTAGCCGAGTCCCTCTGCTATTAGGACTTTCGACATTTGTAGGACGACGTTTGTCTCCCGTGACTGAAGTTGCATTGTGCCTTGTCGTCTTGTGCGCAGGTTCTGATTATTGGCGACGGTGATGACGACTTCTCGTTGGAGTTGGTGCTCGCGTTGAACGAAACGTCCTGAGGAGCACATGTGTTGTCCGCAGCAACTGTCCAAGAACCAAGTGTCTCTTCCGGACGGCTCGCTTTAGGCGATGGCGGCGTATGTCGGGTTCGGCTGAAGTGACTCGCGGCGAGGTGTGGTTTCGTCAAGTCGTTCTTCTGGTGAGTAGTGCGGTGGTGACTCGGTGATGCAGGAATGTGTTATCTTTGCCATGCAGTTGACGATGTTTCTTGCTCCTTGTGCAGGTTGTCCTGTTGGAGTCGTTGAGGCTTGAATCTTTGTCGTGGGATTTGCTTGCGCTGAAGTGACTTGGGTACTTGAAGGCCGAAGTTGTCGCTGTGGTGTTGTCGTTTGCTGACGATACGGGCAGTGCGAACGAGGATGTCCTGAAGTTTTGCAGATGTGACAAAACGGAGGTACTAGCTTCAGTTGTTGCTGCCGATTGTTGTTGTTGTTGTACCGTCGCTGGGTGTGAAACGCGAACTCTGGTGCTGATACCTTTCTCTTGTGTCGTTCTTCTTGCAGGTCCATGTCTTGCTGCTCAGCATGGATTTTGGCGCAGAGTGCTGCTTTGGAGATTCTCCC